GCGTGGATCTATGGCTCTGTGAGCACGTTGTCGGAGACAATTCGAAGCTTCTTCTTCTTCATTTTCATGGTAGTCTCGGAGGAGCTCCTGTGACAGTGAGTTCATTTTGCGAGCACGAATAGTGTTTGAATTTTGGCGCCACAGAATACAAGAAGTCAAAGGAAGCAGATGACGGAGCCGCTTCCTTTAGCTGCTTCTTGTTGACACGTGCACAGACTTTGCTCCTGTGCATTCTTCCTCTAGAGAGCATTTTTACTCCGCCCTTTTTCACAAATGATATTCTATTTTAAATTAATCTAAATTACGAAAGGGAAATTGAAACTCGGTTGTAGAGTAGAAGCATATCTGGTCTAACTAACCCGATTAACCCATATCCGCTTTTTACTCCATCCTTTATTTATTTTGTGCTAAAATTTGCACTTTATATTCGTTTTTTTTCAAAAGATTTTACGAAATTCTTGTTATGCACACAAAGGGTAATGAATATTTGAAAAAAATTTAGCTGTGAGGCTAAGATAGCATCTCAAAGATGGGATGGGGCCAATAATTGCATAGGTCAAGACTCCAATGAATATGATGTCTAAGTCATTTTTTCACTAAACTTATCACATGATGTCTAGGTCATCATCGGTACACAACTTATCATAACTGATATCAAAGCTGATCGTGGTTGATCTCAAAACCAATTTCAAATAAATATCCACAATATTTCAAAGAATCCATTATCCATCACTATATTGGTATGAACAAACGTTGTTTGATCTCAATTGACAAGTCCTCGGCCGGCCCGAATCAAGTTTTTCATCTTGTTCATTTGCTTAGTTTTTTCAGTTAACTAAAGTCTTGTTTTTACTCCGCTAAATAAAGTGTGAAATTCTTGATTTTTGAAGACATAGAAAAAGAAGTCATGCCAAGCCAATTCCCTACTAGGTTTATAATCGTTTGGTTTGAAGTTAGATTTATTGGTGCAAACAACTGATACATATTTCTCATTCCACCAAACTTTTATAGTATGGCAAACAACTGATACATATTTCTCATTCCACCAAACTTTTATAGTATGGTAGTGCCACGCTCGGGCAACACATCACTTGGCCTATTTCTTGGGTGAGATTTGGGACTTATATTCTTCAACACGCCCCTTCACTTGGGACCATCACATAGTGGGCCACACGTGGAGCCAAGTCCACATAAGAGTCAATCATTTAAGCCTAACACATGAGCACCACGTATTGGGTAAAGGGTAGGGGTAAACATTCAAGCTCAAGATGTGAACACCACATATTGGGTAAGGGTAAAGGCCTAATACAGGCCCCGTCAATCAACGGGCTCTGATACCATGAAGAAAATTGAGGTTCCACCCCAAAACCAATTGGCAATGAGGGGAAGTAGCCCAACTCCTTATAAGCCCTTATTAGGTTTGTCAACTTTTCAATGTGGGACTTTTTATCTTCACATTCTCACAATATGTGGGTGACTTTTTACCTTCACAGTCTCCACGTCACCCAATATGTGTTGTCTACGTGTTATGCTTGAAAATTCGTCACACGTGTAGGGGCGTGTGAGAATGTGAAGGTAAAAAGTCCAACATTAGAAAGTTGAGTAACCTAACAAAGGCTTATAAGTAGTTGAGCTACTCCTCCCATTGCCAATTGGTTTTGGGGTGGAACCTCAATTTCGTTCAATCATCACCATATGAGTCGTTGTTAGAAGAATATAATTTTTTTTTATGTTTATGTACCATGTAGATTAAATTACACAAGCTTAACCAACGACAATTAATGTGATGGTAAACACCAATTACAAGTGGTGGGCGAAATGGCTTTCCAAAATTTGTTCAATTATCATGACATGTGTCACTATATTATCTGCTTAATAAAGATTGAGTCTTTTCTGTTAAGAAGAAATGAGGTATATAGTAAGGGATCATGAGCCTCTATATTTAGCATTCGTACATTTATACGTATTTAAAGAAATTTCAACCATTTGATTAATCTAACGAATTGAATTATTCCACGTCATTATAATTACATAAAATTAAAACTCTCCTATTGTACCTTATCACTTACCGGTTACTTATCTTATTTATTGTAGTTTCCCGGACTCCTAATGTCATGGACTTTGATAAGCAAAGCCCCTGAACGTTAACCATTCGAACATCTTTTGTGCAGAGACTAAAACTATAAATTATAAGGGGGTTGAAGGTTTTTTTTTTGGGTCTGAATAGGGGGCGGCCATGAGCAATGCGTGTCGGCAAGTCCAGGGTATTGATTAACACTAAAATAAAAATAAATTTGATCTCATTAAAAATGGGAAAGGGGAAAATGATAGGGTACAAATAGTGAGTTTTTAATATAATATAATTTTGATGACGTGGACTAATTAAATTTCATTAGATTAATCAAATTATTAAGATTGCTCTAAGTGCGTTTAAATGTACAGATGCTAAATATAGAGGCTCGGGATCCTATATTAAGGTCCAATATTTATTGCAAGGCTAAGAATAGCCATACCATCAGAAAATTCATCACTATAGATGTAGTTGAGAGTGCTGCATCTATTATTTAATCTCTTGTCTGTCAAACCCTAAACCCTAACTGAATCTTTATTTAAATGTCTATTTTCACCCGTTTGTCTGTCAAACACTTCATCTGCACGTAAGGAAATTTGCATGTGAATCTGCTGCAAGTTTGTGTTTAGGGTTTTGCATTTTCCATTCAAACATCTTCTTTGTAAAGCATTGTAGTGGTCGGAAGTTTATCAGTGTTAACGTTTGAGCCATGTCTTATGAAAGTTGAGGTATAAATGCTAGCATACAACACTGCATTTCATAGCTAGAAAAGTTTCCTACTTCTTTCTTCGAAGCCGGCGGTAAAATAAGAATCAAATTTGCGGTGAAGTTGGAGAAATTCTTAGATCGAAGAAGTACTTGATATGTTGGTGTATCCTAGTCATGTTTGACATCTAATGCACTTCTCCCTGAACGTATTCGCATATATATATGGTTGACAGTGAGAACTACTACATCTACATGCACGTTTACTCGAAAATTATTCGACTTTTCCTCTAATTTGGGTGATTTAAGAATTTATAGCAGATGTCGTTACTACAAATTAACTCTTCTTATATATGAATCTTTTGGATGATGATGATTCTCGACAATCTATGTTGTGTGATGCAAGGGAAAACCAAAATTGAAGTGAAGTATTGTTTCTCCCCTATTCTAGCTAGTAATTAAGCAACCAAGAAAATAGAAAATAAATTTATCCAACATTTATGGTGATGATTTTGGAAATATTGCTATCATATTCTCTTACTGTTAAGAGAAGTTTTTGGAAAACTAAGAGCAGCCACTATTGCTTGAGGGGTTATATATTTAGGCAATCAATATTCCAATGAGTTGTATTCTAACAAAAACTATAATCAAGGTGCATGCCTCATTAACTGGGAAGCTCTTATATTTTATTTTTTTATTGTCTGGTCAATCTCCAAAGATTCTAAATGTCATTTAATAATATGAAATGGGTACGA